CTATTTTACATCTCTATCAGCCTTGCTGTAGCTTTTTTCCCTAAGAAGGAGACTGTCCCACTGATATTCACCTTCCTTTCCTTCATTTCATGTGTGTGTGCATATATATGTGTGTAATGACAGCGACTGTCTTGTAGCTCTTTCCGCTGTCCCTTCACACCTAGTTTGGCCTCTGGCTTGTGATTCAACATAGGCATTCCTGAGGTTCTCCTAGTGTTATAACCCTGAGAAAATTATGATGGCATCCCTGTATTAACACTTATATTTAATAAGTTATGAAAGCAAAAATTACCAAAGTACAACTAAAATTCCTTCTGTTGCTAAAATGATTAAACATATGAGCTATTATAGTTATGTATATAGATTTACATGTATCACATTGTTATAAATACAAATGTGATTTTTTAACTAGAATTTATATATATATATATATAAAACAGCATATGTTTCCTATATTTTTTTGCTATGCAGTATTTTATGAGCTGCAAATGTCTGTATGTACTGGTTGCTGTGAAGAGTTTACATTTGTGCATCTGTTTCTGTCTACGTGTGTGTGTATGTTTGGCCAGCAGGCCCATGCTGGTACAGTATTTTGCCTGCAGTTACTCTGCAGCTGTGTGAGAATGTTCCTGCTCTTTTGAATGTTTATGTACGGGGAGGCACCTGGAGAGTGCCACACCTTTGTGAAATTCATAAACGTCAGCTATTTCTGGCATCCTCGGAGTGTCCTCTTTTTCCCACACACACACTTCTCGTAGAGCTCGGCTCCACGTATCCCTCCAGTTATTAGTCCGGGTCTGATCCTGTTTTTTAGGGGTGGGGGCGCTGTGAGGGAGTACTCTAAATGGTGACTGGCATTGTGTGTTTTTTGCGTTAAATGGGCAGGATACAGTGGCCAAGGCAGTATTTAACAGTTAAAGTACCCTCTCCTCCTTTGGCCCATCCCCATCCATGTCACACACCCCCACCCCCTCCGGCCATTCTACTCAATAGTTTCCTCCCCCCGCTTTGCCCTCCTTTCAGAGAGATTTTCACTCCTTTAGCACAGGATTAAATGATAGTAGTTACATTGATCAATAGGTTAAGAAGCACACAATCCCTCTTGCTGCTAATGACCTTAGTAGTAATGGGTAATAAAATGGGGGTCTGTAATAGCCTCTGCAAAGAGAGGAAGCTGCCCTTACTGTTACTATGAGTCTAACAAAAACAAAGTGTGAAACCATGAATTCACACTGTTACGCTGAAGGATGGACTGAAGTAGGGAGCTATCGCCTAGGTTTGTAAAGCAGCTGTTACTTTTGAGTTTAATTATCATTTTCTCCTACTGAGCTATCCACTGTTGTGGAGCTACAAGAAAACAAATGAAGGAGTGCACCTACATTAATAAATGTATTATTTGTTGCAGGATAATACATTTAAACTTTAATTTATTGCCACTTTATTAAGTAATCTGAGATCTAATAACTGGAGGGATACGTGGAGCCTAGCTCTATGATATTTTGTCTGATTTTCCACAATCAGACGATATTTACATGTTATTATCCACCAATCTTAACTACATCTGCAAAGTTCTGAAAATCAGCCACTTTCACATATTTCCATTCAATTCCAGTGCATTTCATCAGGGACATGATGAAACCACATCAGGCATGGTTTTGTATGCTATTTTTTTAGCCACAAGTTGAATTACAAACCCAATCCTTCCCAGGTATTTTCTTTGTTTTTCAATGAACTAAGATGATCAGTTATTAAAAAATTAAATAAATTGATACTGGTAAAAACTGGAATGCCAGGTTATTTAAATGAGCCACTAGCTACAGTTGGTGCCCCCTTATATATGTGTATTTCTTTGTAAAATTTATTTGTATAGCACATTTCAGCATAACATTATATCATAGTAACATATGCGTTCATCAATTATGAAATGAGCAGTTAACATTACATTTTGTTAAATGCCATCATCAAAATCATGAAGCAAATACACATCAAATATGTGCAACTTTTTCCTGCTTAAAAAAAAGACAAACATGCAGTAGAATTAAACATCTAAAAAATCAGGTGGTATTTCTAATCCTCTAGGCATCCATTAATAAGTGTATTAGGACATATTGGACTCGCATCTCAGTAAGACGGGGGCTGCTCCGTTGACCTTCAAAATGTTCATCAAAATTAGTGATGCTCTGGAAAAAAGGACTTCAGTGGATAATGACTGTGAAATTAGGAAATGGGGGGGATGGGGCTACGCAAATAACAAGACAAGATGAACTGCATATTAAGACGTAACACAGTGGGGAATTAATATTGCATTTTGTTCCCTGTGCCTCAATGCTGGAAATGAGAAATGTGGAGCTGTTGGTCCTGGGTGGGGCCCTGGCCTCGTAGTCTGGCTCAACAAACATAGCGGAGAACTTCAAAGCTGCTTCTTCTTCATCTCATATCACAGCCCCTTTCTTCTGCTGACGATGGCATGGCTTTGTTTTTGTTTAATGCTAAGAAATATAATTAAACTCATACGGGATGTCCAAAAGAAACATTTTAAACAGCTAAATTATATTCAGAAACACATGAAAAATTCAAAGGGCTGTCATTAGCTCTGAGACGGCTCTGAAATGTGGCTTCCTCTGTGACGATGGGGTGTCAGCATCAGCATGGACTGTTGACAGGAGCAGAGATGTTCTTGTGTATTTCTTGTCGCTGTCTTCGCGCAAAAAAAAAGTACAATAGACATAATATCCAGCGCAGTTCCTCGCTGTTTGTCATTTGAATGTTAAGGTAAGGGGATTTTAATGGCGTTTCCCATCACAGAGGCGAGTGGCGGCGTTCCCCGACACACTCCGACTGCCTCGTGTCATCGGAGCAATTAAGGCTCTCTGACAACTATGGACGCTCTCTCAATGTCACAACAAATCACTTTTTTGGAGGAGTCATGCACTTACACCTATCCCTCAATAGAGTTTTTTTGCCACCGCGGTTCCTCCTCCTCCTCCCTTTCTTGCTCCTCCTTGGGGCTATCTGCGTCTGTAAAACAGCACATCGCTGCTGACAGCGTCTCTAATGAGATAGTCGGACATGACACGGCGAGTGGGAGCAGTGAGTGAACCACAGGAGTTTTAGATGGAGTCTTTCACATCCTCAGTGGGCACTCACGAAATGCTTAAAAAAGCACACACACACACACACACACACACACACACACACACACACACACACACACACACACACACACACACACACACACACAGTTTTGAGGTATTGACACAAATATACAACATGGTGAGATCACTTTCAATTTAAAAAAGTAATACAACATGTTGTCCAATATAGTCATAATAATCTAATCTATACTGTTATTTTTGTTGTTTTGACTTGTATTTTAATTCAGTAGTATTTTCCTTTTCCTTTCGTTTGTCCATTTTATAGCATTCAGAGCAGGTTCATATTTAGAGTGACTGCTCTTTAATTTTCTAAACCATGATTATGATTTACATGATGAACTAATCCACCTAAATTAGGGAAGAACAATATAGCCGTACTGATCTGGATATCGGCCGATGACAGTCATGTTCCAACTTATCAGTATTGGTTCAATATTAATCAACTATTAACATATCAAAATTCATCTGGTAGATAAAACCAAGCTTATATTAACAACCGATATTTATTTCCAACTTGTTGCCATTTGGGAAGTGGAGCAGGTTGATCATGTAAAAGTGACAGTGATGTAGCAAAGCATTGTGGGGAGGTTGACTGAAACAGCAACTTCTTCAACGCTTATTTATACCACATAAACACCCAGTCCAGCTAGTCGCTTGCAGGAGTTATAAATAGAGTGCATATCTGTTCATAATTCAGCCTCAAGTGCATTCCAATAACATGATGCTCCTGCCACCGTGTTTCATTGATGGAAAGAAAACTAGTTTTGCATTAGCAAAGTGTTGGGTTCCCCCCTGAAAGGCACTTAACCTGTTTTCTCACAGATTTGTTTGTGTATGAATCTGTGTGCATTTGAGAGTTTCAACAGAGCAACTGTGACAAAAAGCACAATTTGACTTCAGTCCATTTATTATTTTATATGTTGGGCAGCTTAAAGAGCAATCTCAGAAGGTACTACAACAAAAACAGATCTTGATGAATGAGTGGAGCATAAGAAAGGGAGTTTCTAAAGATGGGATTTCAGATCAAGTAATCATTGAAACTACATAAAGCAGGGATATGTTCTGTTATTTGCTGACTGTATTTTTGACTGTGTACAGTACATTTCTGTTTTTAATAATTAACTTGTGAAGATAGGGAATGGATATGACTCATGATTTAGTCAAAGGATCCCTCTACCAGAGATGGCAAACTCAATTTCAAAGAGCCGGTTATGGCAGAATTGTTACAATCTTAAAAATCTTAAAATTTGCTGGACGACATCATTATAATTATCCTAATATTATAATAGGACAATTCTGTTGATTTGAGATCATTTTTAAGTGATATGTTTACAACGGCTTAATAATGCAAGTTCACTGCCTTAAACACTAGTGAACCATAATTTTGAACAGCATACTAGAAAGAGACAACGTTTTAGATATCCAAAATAAAACACCAAACAACCAAAACAATAAATGAAACAGAAATAAAATAAAAAACACAACCAAAACTATAAATAAAATCCATTATGAACTCAGTAAACAAAATTGCCCTTCACAAAATATTAATCATCAAAATGAAAATTGTGCAATTAATTGTTTAATTACTTTTTGTGACAGGCTGAACTGACATACTGTTTGACATCTTTTCACATTGATGCCATTTGGCTATATCAATAAAAACTGCTTTTATTGGATTTATTAAATTATATTTAAGCACAGCTGTGATCTTGAAGTCCTCAGAGATTTAGAGGGCCACGGAAATAACTGCGTGGGCCGGATTTGGCAGCTCAATGTTTAGTTATCCTTAGACAAAGTAAGTTGGCTTTTGCCTTTTTTTTTCCTCACTGCAACTTGTCTGTGCAGGTTCCAGTGTCAGTGGCTATGATGACACCTCAAGTGATAACTCCACAGCAAATGCAGCAGATTCTTCAGCAGCAAGTCCTGAGCCCTCAGCAGCTCCAGGTCCTCCTCCAGCAGCAGCAGGCCCTCATGCTACAGCAGGTAAAATGCTCCACGCTGTTACTGACTCACTTCTTTCAGACACAATAGTTCTGGGTTTTTCATCACAGTTTAGCTTTATTTTGTTGTGACTTTTTTTTGTTTGACTGAGTTAAGTTTTTTTCAGAGTGTGTTTGCTAGCTTTTATTAAGTAAATATTGTTTAATTTCATTTTAGATTTCATTAGTTGTAGTTTTAGTCTTTTTCATACTTTTAATTTTTAGATACAGAATTCAAAAAGGTCAAAGTATTGAGTTATTATTATGTACACATTGATTGGGTAATAAATACGCAACAAAAAGTTCCACTTTCAAAAATATATTCAGTTATTGTTGAACAACCCACTGTCTGGTGTTTTGTCTCAACTTTCAGCTTCAGAAGGATTATGGTGTGCCGTAATTTGCTGCCGTAAACTACTTGTGTGGGGAAAAAAATAAATCAAACTCACATATGTTTGAAAAGCTTATATATTCACAAAAACATAGGGTGTCATATCCCTAATTTCAAAATGTTTTAGTTTTATAAATGCATGATATAGATCCAGGTAGTTATAATTTTCCCCCATTAATTGAAGTTTTTGTATATTTCAATCAACAAAAATGTTTCCTCAATGTCAGTTTTTCATTATTTTGTCTGTTTCAGTTAACTGGAATAACTTTGATTTATTTATTTGATTTTTTTTTTCCTGTCAAAACGAGCAAAACATTGACTCTTTTGGTCATCTCTCTCATTTCCTCTGCAGCAGCAACTTCAAGAGTTTTACAAAAAGCAGCAGGAACAGCTCCACCTCCAGCTCCTCCAGCAGCAGCAACATGCAAGCAGCAAGCAGAGCAAAGAGGTAAGACTGACATCACTCTGACTGCCTGCCATTTCCAAAACCACTGCCCAGATGGAGAGAGCATGGAAGGAATGTGTGTGTTCTCCCTGAACTCCGTGAGTCTTTCAGAGTGTGGTTCAGAGTGCAGACTGACAAGAAAGAAGAGAGGGAGGGGATCAAGTGCACTCATGCTTCTGATTAGGATGTCAGAATTGCTGGGTAAATGTTAATAACTGACTGATACTGTGCTAAGCATACGGTCTGGTTGTGAAATTGTCTCCCTGTGAAATAGGGACTATGTCACAGTTGTCAATGTTTTTTTAGGGAGTGGGGGTATTTATTCTGGTAGAGTCAAAAATGTATTGTACAAGTTCACCAATTTCAAATGACTCAATTCAAAAAAGGAAAGCTGGTATAGTATGTAGATTTGTTAATTACAGTGATACATTTTAGTGGCTTGTTCCAGTAAATTTTGTTGGAAAAGCCCAAAATTGAGTTGAGTTCAGTTTATTTACATATCACCAAATTTCAACAAATTTCTTCATGAGGCACTTTAGAAAAACCAGTCTAGTCATTTTACTCCTTAACTTGTGGAAGATTTTTCTGAGGTCGCTGGCTCCACTCCATAAGAATCTCATTCAAACACACAAAATCAATTTTATTTTTAGTCTTGTTTCTAGTGCAGATTTTAGTGCATTTAAAGAAAATCATATGTAACTTATTTATTGTCTTGCAGAAGTAACTTTTCAGCAGAAATACAGACATTTGTTTTAAGTCAATAATTCCTTAATTTGATTTTAAAAGTGGTAGTTCCACTGGCATTTTAGTTCTCATAACAAGACATTTTTCCCATGTTGCAAGTGAAATAATCTGCCAGTGGAATTACCACTTTTTAAATCAATATTAAGGAATTGACTTTCATATTTTACTGAAAATTTATTTGTAAGGTTGAGTTGTCTTATTTCAAGATATTTGCACAGGAAACTAGACCAAAATTACTACCCCTGAATACACACACCCGTTAAATATTTTATTAACCAAGATGCTAAAGCTGATGACAGACAATAAAAGAAGACTAACCCTTTTGTCCACAACACGTGTCCTCTGAAACACAAAAGATGACCCCTTCTGTGTACTGTGTGTAGGACAAAGTGAAAGGCTAAATGGAAAAGAAAAATAACAGGGTGCATGTAAATCGGAGAAGTTTTTCTTGGTAATTAACATGGAAATGCAGAGGGAGAAAAGGCAAAGAGTGCTCCCAGCTTCTTCTTTTTCTTGAGTTCTCTCATACGCCAATAACCCGTCCATGTTTCGACGGGGCTTGCGCAAAGCCAAATGGCTTAATATTTGTTAATGACGGGTGGATGGATGCGAACGTCACTTTGGACAAAGCAAATTATTAGTCCGTGGTCAGAAAAGCTTCAAAGGCAATCTAGAATTTTTTTTTACTTTCCTGTCCTTGTTAAATTTGGCATTTGGAGAGTAAAAATTAAGCTTAGCCTCTCGCGCTACTTGATGCACACGCTGTCGAAAAGCGTCTTTCCCTCCCCTCAAAGTTCTAGTTCCCTAATTAATGAACTGTGGGCTTCAGTTTGGACAAGTTGTGGTGTGATGCTCCCATAAATCAACATGACAGCGCCGCTCTCCGGCCTCAGATAAGGCCTGTCACCAAACTCACATCTGATGTAAACATTAGTGCAGCAAAAGGAGAGAACGAGGAGGGGGGACGCAATTGATCAATTGAATGGAGCATGAGAAGAAAAGAGGAAGAAAAGAAAGTCTACTTTTTAACCATATTATGTATGATCACATGAAATGAATTCTGTCTTAAGAGATTCTCTTTTCTTTCTCTTCCCCATGCGCCAGCTTGCTTGCTTCTTTTTTTTTTTTCCTACTTTTTCCAGCAGCCATCAAAAGACAGAACAGGGAATTATGCAGTGACTCCCCTGTGGCTACCAGACAATAGTCCCCTGTTGTTGCTTTGTGCCCTCTTTTATTTTGAAGACATCAAAATTTTATTTTTCAAAGATCTTTAACTTTATATTTGAAAGTCGACAATAAAGGGGCCTGCCACTGCCACTCTTTCTCATTTGTCAGAGACTGTATTTTTCTCTCCCTCGTGCCACTTCTTGTTAACCTCTTATTTGGTCTATTGGGTTTAGGGTGGGGTGGAGCAGTGGGGTAGAGAAGGGGTTAATGTGCCTTCATGCTGGGAGCGCACAGGAGCCGCTGTCAGCTGATGGGACTAAAAGAGAGAGGGAAAAATTGTGAAGGGGAGACGGTTAAATTCATCTTCGCTGCGCTCAATTTTCTTTTTCTTTCTGCCGAGACGGCCTCTATTTATTTAATGTTTCTGATGAAAGACATTGTTCCATGTGAACTCCCGCCCCCGAAAGCACTATTATCTCCATTCAAGGGGTTGTCAGGGAAGAGAGGTGATGAAAAACGAACAACTGCAGATACAGAAAAACTTTAGAAAAATAACCAACTAGGAAAGATCAGATGAGATCCCGGGTCACCTGTGGGAGATGTCGCTTGTGAATCCAGGGGAAATAAAACAACATTTCCTGTTAGCCTGAGCTCGGCGTGAGGCAGGTGAACACCATTGAGACCCTTTTGACAGAGCAAGCAGTGACTGTAAGGCTGAACCCATTTTATCTGACTGATTCAGTGGTTTCAGGCCGCCAGTCTGTGACCTGCCTACCATGCTGCACAGACATCTTTTTTTCTGTACGTGCTCAATTGTGAGAAGTAAACAGAGTGGTGTGTCCTGTGTTTGGTAAAAGGGTGCGGTGCACAGCCTGGAAGCCCGGCACTGCTTTTAGTGCCCTGTTCCTTCCCCTGCTCCACACCCGATTTGACAGCTGGTCTTGTGTTCTCCTAAACAGACCAAAGTAGCCTGTTGGGTCTAAGTTGGACTTATTTTGACTTTAACTGTGTGAACGGAGTGATGGTTCTTCAGTTCATTTCATAGTGAAAACCGGGATATCTGCTGGGTTGGAAGAAGTCTTGACTTCAATTATTTCTGTTTTAGCTCATAAAAGTCTGAAATTGATAGTATTTTTTGATTTACATTTAGTTGTGTCTTCAGTTTGGACCTTCATCAAGGTTTCTTTTTTAAACCTGGCAAGTTTCTGCATTTCTCAGCTTAATATGTAGGGAAGTAGGTAAGGAACAATGAGGCTTTAATTTTGAAATTTTCAGTCAGCTTTATTTTAAAAGGCCACACAAATCCTGTGTGTAATAGTGGTTGGGATATTGACCTTTTGCAACCACGTCTCTTAGTAATTCTAGGTGCTATTGATGGACATTGGAAGTTGGAGACTGTAGTATTGAACAGAGCGACTGAAATTGTTTTCCAAAGTTGTTTTTGCCAGTTTATTTATGGCTTCTACTTGTTTGAGCTCATTTATCTGTGAAGGAAACACACCTGGGTGAGGCTCATAGTCTGCGGTATTTACAAAAGTTGTAAATGGCTAGTTTAGAATCGGAGCCCTACCTCCTCCCTCCCAGTGAATCAAATTGTCGACTTTGCCTGAATTCACACTACGTGATATATATCACTGTCATAAAGTGCATTTCTCCTTACACAGGAGGAGCCTTAAAAGATGAAAGACGGGATGATAACCTGTTTTTTTCATATATGTTAGGTTACATGATGGTGTGGCACTGTTTCTAAGGTCACTAATGGCTAGATGCATACTTTTCCATTAGGGCTATGTACTTAAATCAATTCTATGATATTTATCAATTTTTCCCCCTAGGAAGGTGTCAATTTTTCATCCTCAAGTATCAATACATTAAACCATAGGGGTCCATTGGGTTATACACGTCTTATTAACATGTCTGATTTGTGACGGCATAGCAGCAAGACTCCGCCTCCTCTAGGTTTTTCTGTGACTCAAGGTCCAAAATGCAACCACAGTATGTCCAAAAGAAGAAAAACAAAATAAGTGCAATCATTTGCGTATTGAAAGTCTACAGAGGCTAATGATCTCAACACTTAGCTTCTGGATTATTGTTGATCTTTGAGTTTTATGTCAAATCCACATGAATTGAATGACTAAACTAATTTTCTCACTGCATCTTTGATTCATTTTGTGCAGCTGTCGACTCTAAGTTTCTGTCCCATCAGAGCGAGGTATTGTGTAGTTGGGGCTTTAATCAGTTTTCAGTTAATTAAATCCAACTGAAAACTGATTAAATCCAAATCTATGGAACACAAAATGTCACCAAAATCACTCTGTACCTCTAAAATCTTTCAGAAAATCATAAAAGTGTATTAAATTGTTTGCCAAATATGATGATATATATATTGTATAGTGAGTAGAATAATGTGTATTGTATCATATTGTGAGATTATTGTCTATACCCCTATTTTCCATAATGCTATAGTTGATATGTTTCATATACTTATAAATCTTTTTACCTTTTGAAAAGTGTTCCCTGCAACACTTACGCTGATGGCTGCCGGTCATTATTATTGACAGCTGGCGAGTCATTATGATTCACGGCTGCTATCCACCACCACCATATCTTTCCTCATTAAAAGCTATAAAATAAAATGACAAGTGTGGTTTGCATCGTTATTTGTGCAGCCATTCGTGTAGCACCCCATCACCATTTTTAAAGTGAAATCAGCTAAATACAAGCAATATTAGGTTACAGATGTCTGGTGTTAGACTGGCTTTAAAGGAGCATATTTGTTTTTTAATGTTCATCATGGCGGAGTGGCCGGAATTCTGGAGAGTGTGACATCTTGTACAGAAGGTCAGTACGAGTCATATGAAGCCCAAAACAGTAATTGACTGCTGTTTGAAAAATTAAGAACCTATATACCCTTATTTTGTAGGGTATGTGTTGGTGTCTCTTACTTTAGGGGCATCAAGTTTCATGGCAGTGTTGTATAAAGTAGTGAAATCTCGGAGTCCAGTAAAAGTATAGGTACTGCTCCAAAATATGACTTTGGTAAAAGTAAAAGTCACTGATTGAAACGTTACTTGAGTTAAAGTCTTAAAGTATCTGAAATGTCTTGTACTTAAGTATGGAAATGACTGTAAAAATGGATGAACTCAAGTAATGAAATGAAAAGTACAAGTAAAAAGTAAAACAAGTCAAATGCAGTTTGAATGACATTTTTTATATTTTGGTAAACTTGTTAAATACACGTAAAATAATGTACACAACCAAGTGCAGGCAAAATGAAACCTGCTAATAGATAAACCTGAAGGCATCATTTAGCTAAGAAAATTAGGTGCTTTACTTAAATCACAAGGTTAACTTAACCTGCTTTAAGTTAACTTAACCTGCTTTACAACTGAACCAGCTTCTTAGTAAACCTTCCAGGACAGAAAATACAAAGTTTCTATAAGCCTCAAGTTTTTCCTTTCAGTAAGGTCAGTGCTGAAAATGAGAAAAATAAATAGTACAGAAAATGCGGCCAACATGGAGAAAAGAACACGTTAGGATTCCTCTACTTCACACACTATAGGTGAACACAACTGGTCATTATGCAAAAGAAAAAAAGAAATGGGAGGGAAATGCAGCTTATTGACATCTGAAGAGGGAGAGCTTTTAGTTAACTTGGTGTTTAATGGGAGAAGCGAAACAGACCTCCATGAAGCTGACACCACCTACTCAAATAATCCAGCAAATAGTCTGATTGGTTCGTGCTCCATTTGTGCCGTTAAAATTTTTGTTTGTGCAGCTTTGGTTTCTGAGATATTAAAAAAGATTTTTTGAGGCCATCCAAAATATATACTTATTAAGATTACAATTACTGAAAATATTGATTATGACTAAAAATTCACTTGAGAACAGTGTGTCTCGTGTCTACCCTCTACCCTCCTGCAGATTTATTCTAGTTTTTCTGTTCTGTCTTAGTTTAAGAGGAGAGTTTAGCACAAACTTAGTGCATTCGAGCCTAAGGGCCCAAATTAATAGTCGGACATTTTTGCTAGAAAGCAGAATTTTAACTATTTTGTGTCAGTTGGTCACAAGGCAAGAAATCTATTTCCATTAGTTTCTCAGGAGAGTTTGGATGTAAAATTTGTTGACTCTCCCTGAGTGAAACTCCGACACCTTGAGGAAGGGGGAGACCAGAGACCGGCTGGCCCAAATTAGCGTTCATGAATCGGATCAACCTCGAGCTAGACGCCGCTCACACCGGATATTGGAACAGCCAAAATCCAAATTGAAAACAACTTTGCTGCGTTTGTTTTAATGGCACAAACCTGCACAAGCGGAGCACTAACGAACCAGCCCACTTTGGTTTGGTTTGGAGCAAAATGGGGGGATGGTGAACTCTGGATGACCTAAAAAATAATTTTAATATCTCGGAAACCAAAGCTACACAAACGAACATTTTAACTGCACAAACCTACACAAACGGAGCACTGACCAATCAGACTGTTTGCTGAACTTTGTGACGCAGGTGGGGAGGTGAAACCTGTGCATCCTATTGGTGGTGATGAACAAGCCCAGGCAAGCAGGCTTTGTTGCAGTCGGTCAGTAGGTGGGATCAAAACATTTGCGTTTCTCTCTCGCTTTTTTGTAACGAGTAACTAAAGCACACATTGAAAATGTATCAGAGTAAAAGTATGCAATTAAGTTCGGAAATGTAGTGAAGTAAAAGTGAAAGTTATCAACAATGTTCATACTCGAGGAAAGTATGAAGTACTCCAAAATATACTTAAGTAAAGTAGTGAAGTATTTTTACTTTGTTACTATACAAAACTGTTTCATGGGTTGTATTGAATTTACTTTGGTCTTCTGCCATCATACCTGCAGTTAGTTTTCTGCTAAGATAGTTTATAGTTCTAACCTCCAGCTCTGCCCTCCTCAGTAGTAAGGTGTTCCACAAAGATGGTGTCTTCATAGCTCCAATGGTGCGTTCACACCAAATGGGTTTTGTGCGTCAGGCACGTCTGGTTTACATTCAAAGACAATGCGGGGTATCGGATCCTCCAAATGGGTCAAATGATGCTGCGCTAGCTGTCATAACATGCCTCAGCAACACTCAACGCACTTCTACATAGACTTTGAATGTAAACCAGAGGTGCCTGACATTCAATTGGTCAATTGTGTCTTTCAGTTACGGGCATCAAACTGAGATGCACCCAAATCTCAGTTTGATGAGATTTAGGGGCACGTTTAAATCTGCCCCTAAAAATATCTCCTTAAAAAAACCCCAGACAGAATTCAGTTTCTTTTTTTTTTCCTTTTCAGTTAGACTGTGTCCGTTTTGATTTTGGCTTGTTTTTCACTAATTACGCCAAACATGGTTACTTAAAATGCCAACAAAAGTATTAGCACACTTCACAGGATTGAGCCACACATCCCAGAGAAGCTTATAGTGAATCTCAATGACCTGGGACTTTCAACATAATTGCCTTTGGATCAGGAGCTTTCTCATTGGCCTCAGGTGGGGAGAATAGGGAACCGAACTCTATCCACCCTCGTCTTCAATGTAAGCACCCCACAGGACTGTGTGCTTAGTCTGATTCTTTTTACTCTCTTCGACCACCACTGTGTAGACATCCACTCCTCTAGCAGGGCTCTAATGTTTGCAGATGATAACAAACAATGATGAGACCTTGTACAAAGAGACGATCCAGAACTTGTCCCAGTGGTGTTAACCAAAAAACCTGGTGCTCAACACCTGCAAGACCAAAGAGGTCACAGTGGAATATGACCTCTTGGGGTGCACTGTCCATGTTATTACAATTCAAGGGAAGGAGTTGGAGTACATGGACAACATCAAAAAACTGCCCAGTGGATCGTGGGGAGTCAGTTACCAAACCTGAACCTAATATATGAGGCAAACTGCAAAGGAAGGCCAGTTATATTGCCACTGATCCCACCCACTAAGGGCAAAGTACAAAGTGTTTGTACTGTTGCCGCCTGGTACAAATATGTACAGAGCACAACCTTTTGGCTAAGGAACAGCTTTTTCCCAAGAGCTGTGGAATTCATCTGTCCACTTTTCTTCCTCTCTGCAACCCAAGGACTGATTAAAATTGTATTTATTTGTCTGCTTATCAATGAGGGTACTGCTCCAATTTGATTGTGTTCTAGAAACATAATGACAAATAAAAAAAATCTTATTCAAGGATTCCATTATTGTCCTACCATTTCACAATTTTTGCTTGTGTACAAAATTCAAACTCAGTTCCCAGATCAAGAAGTCTAATAAATAGATTTTGAGTAAGACTTATAGCAAGTCTTATGTAACCCAGTGGGATGTAGAAATCAACTCTCTCTCCCGTTAACATGTGATTGAACGCAGCTTGCTGTACTGGTTGGCTGGCTGGGGGAAGTGCTTATCCCCGAGCTCAGCACCATGCCTGGGAGACTTGTGAGTTTCTAGGGTGGTTATTAAGCACTTTGATTTAGTCGCACATTGTTTGCTGAATTATGAATGGCTGTAATTAAATTCTTGTGGCTCTAATTATGAATGATTAACTGTGTTGTTTCATTGTTTGTCATTTGCCTCCCGAGTGACTGGCATTAATTAAAAGCGAGAAAAGCAGAGACCTACCTGTCTTAAGTGGGCCCATAAAAGAAACTCCTTCTTAAGATGAAATTGATAAAGATTGTGCTCCGTTGTATGGGAACACCTAAACTGCTTTCTTATAAATCAGTGGTAGGACTCCAAAGTGTCACGGACTGAAGAAAGACCAAATTGGAAAAGAGGACGCATGGATTGTGTGGAATACAGTGCATGTTTGTTGGCTTATGGTAGTTTTTTTTCATTTGTGCCTCCAGCAGCAAGTGTCACCACAACAGTTGGCCTTCCAGCAGCAGCTCCTACAGGTCCAGCAGGTCCAGCAGCAACATCTGCTCAACCTTCAGAGACAAGGGCTGCTCACCATCCAGCCAGGACAGACCAACCTGCCGCTTCACTCGCTCACTCAGGGTTAGTATCACTTTTTACATCTGCCTCTCCACCAGTGTACAGTAGCTCAACTGAAGTACCATCATGTTGAACTGTGACATCATGCTTGCAAAATCCCGCTAAAAGATCAAAATAATAAAAAATAAAACTGCTTTCCGACAACCAGGCCCGGACGCATGGACGGGCATTGGGGGGCATTGCCTGGCCCCGGACTGGAAGCTGTTTGTTGTTTTTACCTTAGAATGGCCAACTCTCTGTTATTCCTATATCAATTTGATACAAATAGAGGCTTCCGCACTTAAAAATGTTTAACTGTTAACACGTCGTAAGCTGTTTTTCCGAGCTGCCTTTACACGCAACATGAACGCTGAGATGCTTGCGGTGGGTTACACTTGTGCAGCAATGACGGAGAAGACTGGGCTGGGTTGGATTGTGGCTGGTTGATGGTCACCCCTCTCTGTATGCGCATGTTTGTGGAGAACATGGTACTAAAAGACTTTCAGATGACCTGACACCACAGAAAGGGAAGATCCAGTTCTGACAGATCGTCGGTATTGCAGGTCTTTAAATTAGCTAGTCAACCATTGATGTGTTCAGACAATGACTTATTAATAATTGCAAAATAAACATAAGCCTGAAAACATAAAAGTGTAATGTACTGAATGTTCTGTTCTTTTTGTGGAAAATGTTGATGTGTTGGATTCTAATGAGCTTGTGGATCTGTTGTCAGTCAGTTGCTTGGGCAACGGTCTGTGTGTAGCATAGCCGACACAGAGATCAATAAAAAAAGATAGTATAAGTGGTTTTGAGTTATTTTTCTCTTTACATGGTGCACTGCAATGAATTCGAATAATACCTCCATCTCCAGGTTTCACGTGGTTAACAGTTAATGGATGACAAGTAAAAGAATCATATTTTTGAGATCTGGAGTTGTGCGCATGTGTAAAATTTCTGAATGTAAATGATAATGTGATTCGTGTCTAGATTGTTTGAGCTAAATACAATAGAGAACAAAACTGTGAGGTGCTCAGTCTGGCTGTTTTCATTTAAGAGAGGGATACGCTGAAGAGAAAGTCCCGAGCAGTAAAAGCGCTGCTGAGACCTATTGTAATCGTACTGTCTCTTCTTTTTATTATGATTCTTCCGTCAAATGAATTGGCTTCTTGGGGGCCTTAACATATTCAAAAACTCATCTAACTTGACGGGCGCTTTAAGTCTGCGTGAGAATGACACACTTTAAGGTTGTTGCACAGAATCACACAAGAAACGTCTCAACAGCACCGCCTGGCAACTCTCCAAACACCCTCCACATTGATTACTGGTTTGAAGAGGCATGAATCTTGGTACTCTGTTGCACTCCCCAAGATGCAAAGAGAACTCTACTAATGTCATGGTGCACATCAAACAGGGAGTCAGCCATTTTGGAAAGAAGTTCCGATTTTTTACGGCCTTTGCATTTGATCAAACTCATCCCAGGCATTTCAATCGATCCGGTTAATCAATCTGGTTAATTTGTTCATGAGGTATGGCCGAAAAAAAGTAATACAAAAAACTAACTTTTCATGCATGCTGAAGGGGCATGGCCAGGCCTCAAAGTTTGCCTACTCTGCATGAAACTGTAATATCTCCTACGCATAGAGGCACTCACAGAGGCACCAAACTTTCAGTGATTGAGCCATACAGTACCCAATGGTCAAATGATGACATCACTTAAGCCACATCCCCTGAGAGAAGGAATGTCACTTTCTGACCCCTTTCATCTAATCAAAATGAAACTGTGTCCAAAGACAGAAGACATGTTGGTGTAACGTGGTTTCCAACACTGACTGGTTTCAGTGGAGCACATGTATGTGGTGGCATGGCGAAGTGACCTGAGTTGCCATTGCCATATGTTTGACTATGAATTCCAGGTATTTGCCCTGAGCTGCACCAAATTCACTGGGATCGATCCATATCCACCCCTAACAGGAATCCACAACAATCTTTTGAGGGCGTGGCCTAATTTCTCTGCAACACTCCCTAGAATATTTTAAATGATCAGCCCCAAGCCATGCTTTGACCCAGATTTCTGAAACTTGGTATGCATGTGTATCTTGTCAGGACGTACAAGAATGTCTCTTGGAGCCCACTGGAAATAGGCCCTTTTGGGTCAAACCCCCCTTCTTCTCTTTTTTATAGACCTTGTATCTGATCGAACCCGTCCTACAGCTTTTGAGATACAGATTTTAGAATCACTCAGCACAGTCTTGAGGCATTGAAGGTCAAAAGTTATCAAATAATTTTTTGTACATCAAAGCATGTGGCTTTGTGACAAAATCTCACTATTCACCATAAATTATCAAGGTGCAATAACTTTATCATACAAAGTCACAGCTGAATGGCACTTTCTATTTCTCACTACAAACCAGCCCTTGCCACATTTACATGGTCAATTGACGACATCACCTTAGCCCCACCCACTTCCAATGGGTAGTCACCTGCTGGATGCCATACTTTCCATCTAGTTTTAAACCTGTGCCAAGTGACATAAAATGACACGACGATGAACTCTGTCAACACTAGCTGCTGGCTAAACCATGTAGGTGTGGCCAAATGGCAAATTTCAATCCATTGCTGTATGCATACGGTTGTCTCCAAATCATACATTCGTCATCCGAGTTGCACCAAACTTTTGTGAACCTCTAAAGAGCCCAATAGCATTAAATTGTCATTTGACTCCACTGCGCTAGACTATTCTATCAACTACATCTCTTCACTACATCAGCCTATCTGCACCAGATTTTAGGTACGTCATCATGGAGCACTGCTGAACACATCAATTTATATCGCCAAGAGGATGAGTGCGGGAACTGCACGAGACTGTCGACGATGACAATCTAGTGGCATTGCTGGAACCCCCGCGGCTGCTACGGGGCGAGAGCATCGCTGAGCTGCAAGGGCTGTTCGAGGCTGCTTGCAGCTTTAATTATTTATTTATTTTTATTTGGAGAAGCAAGTGATGCAGACGATCTCTTCTGTTACTTGTGATGTGCAGAATCACAGCAGGAATACGTTTGGTGAAAATTTTGTATGCAGTTACACAAACATGTATTAAGGTCCACTGGTCAGATGTGAACAAAACTCCAGGATAAAATGCAGTGGGTTACAAAAAAAAACCTAACACTGCATGTCACCTGGAGGACATCATAACCACGGGACAAATGGCAAAGGCTTTATTATGCTGTGGGGATCCTATTTCTTTAGTTAGATGGGTAGTCCTCGAAACTTGAAGAGATTTATTTTCCAGTGCGACATCAGTGCTGTAGAGCTACAATGGATGGAATAGATCAGCATGTTTTCATGGGACATCATGGCCTAGTCAAAGTCCAGACTTAACTCCAACTGAGAATTTATGGAATGACTTTAAAATTGTTCATAGAAGCTCTCGATCAGCCTGACTGATCTTGATTTGTCTTTAGATGTCCAAAATTTAGAAATAAAATCTCAGTAAAACATATCTGACTGTTTACAGTAAAACACATCAGAGCTTGTGGCAGTCATGTGACAAATATGGGGAAAAAAACCTTCATTGTAGTGTGACAACATTTACAAGGCTCCACATGTGAACTTATGTAACGTGTGTGATCTGCCACTGATTATTTCCTTTTTCACAATTCCTGTCAAAATTTTTATAAGTCCAGAAAGCAGTGGATTAGTTCTAAAAGAAACCACACTCTATTCATGACTTCACTGACAGGAGCACACTTTCAGAAAATCTCCAGTAAATAATTAACCATTTTACTATATTGTGAGTTGTTATAAATAATTCAGTAGACCTTACACAACTTCTCCTATTGTATTAAATCTCTTTAGCTTTTTAAACCCGCTGTTGATTGATGAAGGGATGATCCACACTACCTGTGATCGGCTTCCTTTATCAAAGACGTTTATTGTTCCTAAACTGCCTGTGAACTCGTCATCATGAAACTGTTTCTCGATCAGCAGTCGGTCCTGTTTGGCCATAAAGTGTATTTCTTTGTTTATGTTTTGCGAAGGAGTGGCTCCCTCGTGACAAATACGCCGTCATAAGGGTTTGAGAGCATTGACTATTCATTCCCCAGCTAAGACAAACAGTTTTGAAATAACAAGATAAAACAGAAGGTTATGGGGGAGGAGAGTGTACTTAGGTAATAGGCAAACACAAACAGGGTTTGTACAGTGGTGTTATTGTTTGGACTGGCCATGGAATCAGTTATCGGCCTGTAGACGATTGCCAAAGGCGCAGGGGTGGGGCTCTTGCTGTTGTTCCAATTGCACTTTGTTGAATCGCAGCATGTGTGTGTGTTAAACGCCTGGCGAACACTCACACACCCCAAGAGTAAAGCACATATGAGTGATAAGGTCAGGTACTTTTGATGGATTTCACAACAGGCTCAGAACATCCTGTTTATTCAGTCTTATCTCCAAATACCTCTGAGACATCAGATGCTTGTCCTGTCCTGTTTCTTCATTTCACATAATTGTTTTTTTGATACAACTATTTGATTTATCAGAATTGCATTCTTAGAGTTGTCAAATAGCTAAGTATGAATTCTGGAGGTCTAAATTAAAGATGCTTCTTCCTATTCATTTTTTTAATTCACCTTTTTATTGATAAAGGACATTACATTGCAATAATATAATTATTTTGCTTTTGTTCTTATTTTTCGCTCTTTTTTTCAAGAAAAAAGAAACAAACAAAACAAAAACCGGACCTTGGATGGTTGGCAGAATAGCTAGTATATTCAATCATTGAAATGACATTTCAAATCAAGGCATCAATCTGAATGACGGTAAGGTTTACAAAAACTCCTCAGACCTATCAGGCTTGACGTAATCTATCCATTTTGACCGTATCTTGTAGAAAGTGTCCCTCTGTACTTTGACATAACAGGACAGCTTCTCCAGTACATATATCTCTTTCATTATGTTAACTCAGTATTCAATTGTTGGACCTTCATGTTTGAGCCATTTTTGAAAGGGCATTTTTACTCCCAGACAAT